TAGGCAATAGGCATACATTGATACATACAGTATTACATTTACAGCTTTAAAGCATAAAAGAAAACCTAAGTATGGAGGGCAACGTCATCTAGATTATGAATTAATCAAACAAGAATTAGAAACACAGAAAAAAAATAAGTGAAGTAAATAACCCTAACCTCACAACTCACAAGTATTCAGATTTTGAGCGGTCGTCGATCGATAGTTGAGACTCGTAGAGCGAGAGCGAGAGGCGAGACTCGAGAGCCAACAATGGAGTTTGAGATTTTGATTCGTGAATCGTGAGTTCAGAGTGGCGATTTGAGATTTTGATTCATGAATCAGTTCGTGAGCGAGGCGAGAGTTGAGGACGAAAGAGAAAGCGAGTGAGGCCGATTGTGGTGGTAAAGGTAATATTTTTAGGCCCAACTGAACCTATATAGGTATATTGGGCTTGATAAATCTGATGCCCTTAGCTCTTTTGCTGCCCTGGGCCATCGCCCCTTGGGCCTATGCCCAGGGCCGACCCTGCTGTTAAACATTGCATGTTATGATTATATGGTGCTAGTTCTCGTAAAGTTGCCAACCATGACTTCTTTGTAAGCCATGCTTAGATCAATTACATATTTTTGATAAGCCAGAGTTTGGGAGTCTTAAATAACTTTCATTTTATTAGGTGAATATTAATTTACTTGGAGCTTGTCTACATCTTATGAAGAAGTTAATGAGTTCATTGATTAAAGTGCATTTGAATATGCCTATTGAGAGTCTCTTGCCTTTTGATTTATGCTTTTTTCAATGTTTCCTAGCTAGAATGATGAAAGATGCTTGTGCAAATTTTTGTAATTCTAGTCAAACTTAGATTAGTGGCATTTTAGTTCAGAACAACTTGCAGCATCGTCTTATCCTTCTAAGGGGCCTAAAAAGTCTTTATAAGGTTGGAAAAATGAAATCTTTAACATCCAAGAAAATTTTCGACGTCATACAGTGCGTTTACCTTTGTTAACAATCCTTTAGCTATGCTTTGTGGAGGTGATTAATGAGGGGACATCAATACGGAAGGTGGGGTTTTTTGGACGCACATATGAGAATCTGAGGTTAAATTTCAAACAACCAGACCAGATATGTCATATGAATAGGCCTTAAAATTTCCAATACTTCTCAAACAACCAAATCAAAGAGAATAGCAATGGCATATGAACAGGCCTCAAATTTTCAGAAATAAACATAGTAAACCAGACCAGACCTATCTTTAGCATATGAAAAATGAGATTAAATAATCTCTCTATTCACTTGGCCACAATAATATAACAATGAAAACATAGAATAAATTTACAATAAAAGATATAGAAAGAATACATATCATACAATAAATAACGTTTTAAGCTATGTATTTGAATTTTATTAACTGGCAACTCACTCCACCCTACAACTCAAGAAACACAAGGGCTGCATCATAATGAGCCAATGCACCCACAATCACAAAACAATGAAAGATTTGGTGGCTATGACCAGCCAAATCAAACCAACCAAGCTTCCATCTTTTCGGGATCCAACAAATGTAAAACATAGTACCAAACAAATACAAAGCTGCCATGATAGATTCATAAACCAAAGTCGAGTTCCTCTGTGGCTCGTGCCAGTTCAAGATGATGGCATGAATCGCGGGTATTAACCCAAAAAGCCCCATTGCCATGAACAGAAAAGCACAAAAAGAACGAAACTTGCCACTAGATATGTAACACCTCATTCCCCACATTGCATGTAACATATACTTCATACACAAGAAAATACATGTTTATACACCACATAGGTCCCTTAGTACAAGAATTTATCAATACAAAATACATGGCCCAAAAATTCAAAACTATACTTAACATAGCCAAATCTTCTACCAAATATGCACCTAGGAAAATATCACAATTTTGCTTTCCCTTTACTACACCTTCTACAATACATATTTAAAATCACAAAACGAGGGTTAGACCAAAATGTCTAGTGAGTTCCCTTTTTATGTTATTGCAGGGTGCAAATCACCAAAACTTTTATTTAAAAAAAACATGGTTCATATAAATAACAAATATTTGAACAAATACCTCATATTACCAATACTTTTTCAATTCCAAGCTAATCTCTCAGCTTTCAATTAACATATCTAAAACTCAAACAGGTTTATCATAATGCCACTTTTAAACCTTTTCAATTATCACAAGGTTTATTTAAAGTTTCAAGCCAAACTTGTTATTTCCACCTCAATAACATCCAGACTATGATTTCCAATAAGAACTTTGATTCTAAATCCTTAGATCACAAAGAAATAAAGATTCCAAATCACAGTAATCTTATAGGATATAATAGTAAGAGTTATATTATACATCACACATACAAATGCCACCCTTATATCCAAAGGTACACCTCTCCTTGATATGCCACCCTTATCCCATGGTACACCTCTCCTTGATATGCCTCCCTTATTTCCTCATCAAAACATTTCACAAATCAAATCCATATAGAACAGACAACAATCATAAATGTTCCAATGGAAGATTATCAGTTCAAAATCATTTTTATCAAAATTCCGATTTCTTGTTAAAATAATAACAAAATGATGATTAACACATAAATCAACACCCAAATCCGGTCAATACAGACTTAACCGGACTTCATCTCCGGTTAACCTTGGCCGGATTACTAATCCGGAAAACACTTATTCATTATTTTCGATTTATCAATCCAGACAACCTATTCAAAACTTGTCTGATTTACAAGTAAACGGATCGCCCTTTTGTTGATCCCAGATCTCTCAATTAACACTAATAATTAAGTTAAGAATAACCTAATTATATAGTTTGGATGAATAAAATGATGAACACTCAAGAA